TTACCCCGCTGAGGGCAGAGTATACCTGCTCCCCTCACATCTCTAGATGACAACTGAGTCTGCGGGGGGTGGTGGTGGTTGTACTGTGTTTTGGTTTTTTTTTTTGTTAAGTATGTTACTCAATTTGGAAAACTGCTACGGACCCCTTAAGTCTTAGCCAGATCCTAAGAGGCAAGCAATTAGAGTAATGGAACAAAATAACAGATGGCTACTTTGGGGCCTCCACCATCAGCCTTTAAAAACAAAAAACAAACAAACAAACAAAAACCCTACCTGGAGAAAAACAAACCACCACCAGAACTTTCGAATAATTAACTCATACCTAATACAGCCCTAGCCAAAGGTCAGGGTCAGAACACGGAGGACCTGTTAGCAGTGGTGGTTCGATGGGCGGCAAGCCTGGCGATGGAAGCAGCTCCTCCTGCTGGGGCAGCCACCCAGGGAGCGGGAGAGCGAGGCTGCCCAAGCCTCTTTTGGAAATCAGTAGAGGAAACTGTGGCCCAGAACTACAACTGCTCAAGAACTTGCTCAAAAATTAGACCTGTCCTTCCCCCATCCCCAGGAGAACACTTAGGGTTTTCTTATGTCAGAACTGTCACACAACCTACTTTTCAGGGAACGCCTTGGTTACTTCCCTAGAAGTCAGAGCAAAGGCAAAGGCTTCACGTAAAAGTGAGAACTCCCAGGACCTGTACACCCCCTCTCCACTGGGCCAACCCTTGTTTAATTCCTAGAATTCAATTCCACATTGTTTAAGGGTCGACAACTGTCTTGGACACAGATTTTTAGAGTGAATATACACAGGACACTCACAGGACTGCCTCTCTCCCAGTGTCCAGTGGCTCAGCCTCAGAGAGGCTGAGAAGCACAATATGTTATTCACTAAGGCAACACTCCAACGTAGAAAAACCCTGTTTGGGGGTTGGGGGGTTCCCTCCAAGAAGGGAGAGAATAGCACAAACTTGTGCATATATTCCTTCCCATCACGCCTTCCCCACCTCATAAGGGATCCCTACCCCGTAACAGGAAAGTGCACAGCAGTGAAGCAATTTTTTCCCCCAAAGAACATTTAAGTGTAAACATTTGCTGCAGTAGGTATAAAGCAGGATGTACTGGAATCTGGCCCTAAAGCACTGGTACCAGAACATGCTGTGAGCCACCCTTTCCCTTAGTCTTGCCTGGTCCTTAAGGAAGGGAGGAGGGAGAATGACACACAGTGACAAGGCCTTGGGGTTCCGGTGAGTCCTAGTTGCCACCCAAGGCCTGAATGGTGTCCCAGCCTCACCCTGTGTGCAAGGGAGACTACGACCACGAAGGTGCACACACCCTAACTCCCAGAAGGGAGTGGAACTGAGCTAGCAAAGGAGTCACTTGGGGAGTGGTAGAAGGAAGGAAGGGAGGGAGAAGGGAGGTCCCCTACTTCCTTCACCTGAGAAAAAAGGGTCAGGGGCTCAAGCACCTGGAGCAGGAGAAGACAGATCCCAGACATTCTTCAAAACAACCCCTTGGCCCCCTGTTCCCTCCTCCAATTTTCCATGTCTCTTGCCAGCTCTTAACCATTTCCAACCCGGCACTGCCTCAGGTAACACATATTGTTCAGACTGAATGAAGACTAGATCTCCCTTTCCCCTCAAAAAGCATTGTGATGTCAGATTATCTCAACCTGCCACCCTGCGGTAGGTGGGGCAACGGATAAGTACGCCACCCCCACCGATGAGGAAATTCAAGCAGAGGCTGGTAATTTGCCCAAGGTTATGCCAGGCCCCACCCCAGGGACAGCCTGGAACAGCTGCTCCTTTCGTCCTTTCCCCTCCAGACAGGCCGGCAGGCCGAGCCCCAGGGCACCAACTCACACCCTCCAGAGGCTTCTAGTCACTCTCTCCACTCGTGCCCCCGTATTCCTGAAAAAGCTCTACCAAGCCCACGCTCCCAGAGTCCTAACACCATACACGTCCATTTCTGTAGAACTGCAGATGACAGAAATGGAGAGATCAAGGGTCTTGCCCAGGACCACGGAGCTGGAAGAAAATTCAGATCTCCAGAACACAGCAAATGCCTCTAAATCCAAGGACCTCCCAACCCCTTCTCACACAACACCTTTAAAGGACCCCCTCCCACACACACCCGCTCGACGCACCCCCTTAGCTCTTCCTACACACACTCAAACCTTCTCATATCAGCTCAGAGCTCCCCATCTCCAACACACATGACACCTTCTCTGGGCCTTGCACTACTTTTGAGCTCCCTTTTACTACTGTGGGTCCCTCCTAAATTGCTTCCACATCCCAAAGTGCCACCTGAAAACAGACCCTGCCTTAGGAGCTCTTCATGCTCCCTGGTCCCCCAAAAGACACAATTCTTCCTGGAGACTCATCTCTTCCTCCCACAACTTTTGCTCCCTTCACAACACAGATCCACTCCCAGTCCTGGGACTGCATCTCCAGCTCCAGAAATTACCCCTCCCCACTAAAAACAAACAAACAAACAAACAAAACCTCCGTTCTCAGTCTATCCATCACACACTTCCTTCCTAATGAGACTTTCATTTTCCTAAACTAACCTCCCTCCCATTATCCGCCATTCCAGCTCACATTCCCTCCCACTAATCTCACCTTTTCTAGCCCTTTCCCTCAGGCTCCTCCAGCCCTTTGCTGCTCTTTTCAACCTTCCATCAGTTCTTCAGAAACCTGGCCTCAAACCACTCCAAATTCTCTATACCTCCTTTGGTCTCTCCATCCCTCACTTATTCCTCTTATTCCTCCTCTTCCTATCTCCCAATCTCCTCTACTTCCCTTTAGAACGCGGCACCCCCGAATAAATCTCACCCCCTTCAAAAACTTATTGGAGGCCTGTGACTTCTCTCTTCAGACCCCTAATTCCAGACCTTCTTCGCGCCCCCTACCCATCCTCGCAACGAAGCCCCATGTCTTTTCACACCCGCTTCTTTCCTCAGCCCCTCTTCCTTTCCTCTTCCCAGTCTCCTAGCCCTCCTCCTACTCTTCAGACTCCACGATCCCCTCCTTATTACTCCTACTCCATTTCAGACTTCCAGAATCTTCATCCTCTTTAGAACACCCCCACCGTGAGTCTCCCAAATTCCAATCCTCCTCAGACCTTTCTGTACTCCAAATTACCCCCTCCATCCTCCAGCTCTTCTTCATACTTCCCCGAACCCTAATTCTGTACTGACTCACGAACTTCAGGCTCCCCCATTTCTCTCAGGACCCCAACCCATCCTCTGACCTTTCAATCCCGCCTCAGACCCCAATTCTATTTTAGATTCTCCAATCATCTCTTCGGTTTCCCCATTCCCCGCCCCGACCCTCCAATTCCTTCGAGATCCCGGTGCCCTTTTTTTTTTAACTTCCATATTCCTTACTCTGCCGCCAATTATTTTTTCAGACTCCCAATTCCTTGTTCAAGTTCTGCAATTCCTTTTCAGGACTCCACACCCCTTCCCAAACCCGCCAATTCCTTCTCAGGACCTCCAGTTCGTCTCAAACACTTCCAACCCCCTTCCCGGTCCCCAGCCTCCCTGGGAAGCCCCACTCCAGCCCGTCCCGCCCGCAGGCCGCGCACCTTGCGCTGCTGCTTCTCCCAGGCCGGGTCCAGCAGCAGGTCCCGGTCCCAGTCGTCCTCCTGGGCCATGTAGTCGCCCATGCTGCCCCCGCCGCCGGCGCCATTGCCGGCGCTGCTGGGGCCGTACTGGTACGACTGGTTCGCCGCGTGGTAGTCCACCATTCCGCCGCCTCTCGCTCGCCCAC